GTGTGTGTGTGTGTGTGTGTGTGTGTGTGAGTGTGTGTGTGTGTGTGTGTGTGTGTGTGTGTGTGTGTGTGTGTGTGTGTGTGTGTTTGTGTGCGTGTGTGTGATCAGAATGCGTGAATGCACGAATATCGTTCTATTTGTTCCTTCCAAGGTACAATTCATCCTTTGAATGCACGGTGTCGACGTTAGCAATCAACACATCATTCCATGGACATTACAAAACCCTTGTCCCATTAACATAACACATCCCCGTGAACACAACATATGCCCAGAACAAAGACCGTTGTCCAATCGCCCACAAAATACACGAATCCATTGTTCGAATGAAAATAAGAACAACGTTGTTTTCCCTTGTCAATTGGAACATGACTTCGAAGCGCGTTAAAAACAATCAGTGTGTACAGAACCGAAGCCTCCGCTTCTTCATAATCCACAATGAATGCAGGAAGAGGACGCAGAGAACGTAAACGGAAAGTGAAGGACGATTACGAAATGATATACACGGCGCTGACAGAAAAACACACAAAGGCGTTTGTCCTCCTACGAAGAAGATAAAACACGTGCCGTCCACTTGACAACCTAAGTAGTAGACATCGAATGACGCAAACTATGTGCACTACCAACCGATCGATCCTCGGTGGTGTGGGTGTGCAAGACGAAAAATCGACAGAAAACGAACCACGGAAAACAGGGACAGGAAGCGCGACTCCCAGCGTGAAAGCCCCGACAAAGGACGCAACAGCAATGGTGGCATCGTGACGGCAATCGATACAGTCTCCCCGCTGCACATACCCGCCCTCGTTGCCATCATCATCTTCGTCGTCGAAGTCATCATCCAAAAAAGGGGGTCTCGTTCTGGCGATCCAGTCCATGTTGCACTGCCACCATCTTCACCTTTGTCTTCGTCTTCCCCCATCGACATGATCTTTGTGCACATGGATGACGCACCCCAGCCCTCGACGTTTACTAAACCCTTTCACGAACGATCGCCCGCCCTCGGCGCCATCAACATCGTCATCGTCCGAGTCTTCCTCCTCAGGGGGGCCTGTGCCGAGCCAATCAGTCTTCGTTGCTTCCATCGGGGAGTGCAAAGTCGCGTCGTGATTGAACGTGACGCCGCACTTCGATGCCCAGTCGGGGATGTACAGTGGGGGGGGAGCGAAGGTCGGAGGCGGTCTTCCTAGTTTCTCCGTCATCACAGTTGCGGCTAGCAAGACATGACGACGGGAGTCAAAATGGCGATCCATGGCGGCAAGAAGGGTGGACTTCGACGTCAACTGCACGAAAACCTAGGCGTCAAAGTGCGATCTTGCGTCGTCCCCAGCCATCCTCATTATCCACGCCGCCGCCGCCGCCAGCAAGTACCTCATCGCCTCCGCCAGGGACTTCAGGCGCTCGTAAGACACACGCCCCGAGTCCATCGCCTGCGCCACCTCCACCACATTCGTGAAATCGCGCACGAAACTTTGAGAGATGGCCTCCTGGTAAGCCGCGCACTCGTTGTGCTGGTGCCTGTCCACCACGTTCGCTCCAACGAACCACAACGGGAGCTTCATACCCAACTCCAGCATGTTTCGAATCGCCATCGGGCTGACTAATGAACGCCAGTCCTCCAATGCCCACATCGCTCTCGCCATGTCAGTCGCCACGTGGTTCAAGGCGTACTGGTACGCCAAGTGATACCCCTTGTGTCTGCTGTCGGACTTGAAAATCCAGCCGTGGATGGCCCTCTTCGCAATGCTCTCCACCTTTAATGCCCTTTCCTTCGCCGCCCTCAACTCCGAGGCGTCTTCGATCTTCTTCTGCGGAATGGAACTGTGGGGGAGGGTGATGCTCCTTCGGATCGCCGATGGCTGCACCCCCGTCGCCACATCAACGAGGTGAACTCAGGCTTCGTGCATGATGTCGATGATTTCTTTTCCCCGCGTTTGATTCCAAAACCGAATGTCGTCGGTCCATAGCCTCGCGGCCACCTCCATCACTTTCGCCTCCGGACGTTGCCCGCGAAGCTTCTTCACTAGCGGTTCGTCGTCTTCGCCCTCCGCCCCGCCATCACCCGCCTTCGCAACGTCCGCCATGGCAGACGCACCCTGAACTGCCCCCCCGGGCGGCTGCGACGCAGGGGAACGCATCGTCGACGGGTCGGCCACAGCTTGGGAACTGCTAGCCACGCCAACAGCCTGCTCGCTCCGCTTACTCGACGGCGTCTGCTGCTGAACAGGAGCCACCTCTGCAGCACCAACCCCCCCCCGTTCTCTGCTTCACTTTCCTCACGGGAGTCTGTTCCTGTTCTTCGTCCTCCTCCTCCTGTCTCTCCTGTGTATCCACCCAATCTGCCTCCACCTCTCTCCCAACTGCGGCCTTCCCGCCTTCGACGCCCCTTCTTCTCTTCGTGGGATTGTGGCGACCTTTCTTCGGTGCGACCTCGCCTTCACTGACTTGTTTCCCAAGAACTCTCCGAGATGGAGCGGGGCGAGAAGACATTGCGTGTCATGTGTTGAAGATGGAATGGAAGGCGCGTAAGAAGAACGTGGATCCGTCGACCTCGGAGATGGCGGCGAGAAGATCTTTCTGCGCCACGCAGTACCACACGGCGAGGGTGGTTGATGGCGGTGAAAGCAGATGGCAGCGAGAAGAAACGATGGCGCGACGCACGATAGGAAGGTCGTCGGTGTTTATAGTGGCGGAGGTTTCAGGCAGCGACGAGATTAGATGGTGACGCACATAGAGCACGCTTGATGGCGAGTAATGTCGAAGGAGGCGAGAAGATGAGATGGCGGCGCTCGCAAAACACGACGATAAAACAGCGATGGCGCCTGTAGTACAAGGCGGCGAGAAGCTTGGACGACGAAGATCTGTTCGCGGCGCGCGGGGTGGGGGG